TGGGGAAGCTAGATTTAACAACTGCTGTGATTCACTTAACAACTGGGGCAGGAAAGGGCGTAAATGAGGCAAACTCACAGAACTGTCTCGCTTAGCGACAGAAATATTGGGCTCCATTGGGGTCGTAAGTCGAGGACTGCCTGCAAATGCCACCCGTTCTGTCCTCGGTGTCGCGAAGCCTTCCGACCCTGAGGGGGCCCTCCCTTCTCTCCAGTTTTTCCAAAAGGCGGCAGGGAACGTGCGCGAGAACGTGGGCGAGGACGTGGACACGGAGCAGCTCATCCAGGAGACGTGTCGCAGCTGCCTGGAGCAGGTGGGGGGGGCTGCGGCTGCAGCACTGCCCGTTCTAAGAAAGCGCTGCTCTTGAGCGCAGGATGGTGGGGCGGGAGAGGGGCAGGCAGCCCCCCCTGGGCGAAGGGAAGGCCCTACTTCTCCTTTTTCTTCCGTTCTCTCTGTCTTGTTTGGGCAAAGGCCGATGGGAGCCCTAGCAAGCTGCGGATCGAGGGTGACCATTGAGTGTAGTAGTCGGTTGCAGTATAATATAATATAATATAATATAATATAATATTATAATATAATATAATATAATATAATATAATATAATATAATATAATATAATATAATATAATATATAATATAATATAATATAATATAATATAATATAATATAATATAATAATATAATACAAAAATGGTGGCTGGAATTGGGTATGTCTAGTTTAATGAAACGAAAGACAAGGGATGACAGGATAGCAGCCTTCCAGTATCTGAGGGGCTGCCCCAAAGAAGAGGGAGTCAAGCTATTCCCCAAAGCGCCTGAAGGCAGGACAAGGAGCAACAGAGGGAAACTCAGCAAGGAGAGAAGCAACCTAGAACTAAGGAGAAACTTCCTTGACAGTGAGGACAGTTAAGCAGAGGAACAGCTTGCCACCAGAAGTTGTGGGTGCTCCAACACTGGACGATTTTAAGAAGAGACTGGACAGCCATTTGTCTGGAATGGTATAGAGTCAACTGCTTGAATAGAGGGTTAGACTAGATGACCTCCAAGGTCCCTTCCAACTCTGTCATCCTAGTACAGGGGTAGGCAACCTTGGCTCTTTTATGACTCGTGGACTTCAACTCCCAGAATTCCTGAGCCAGCCCTGCTGAGGGGAAAGGGAGAGGTTTCCAAGCTGAGCCAGGCTGACTGAGGAATTCTGGGAGTTGAAGTCCACGAGTCATAAAAGAGCCAAGGTTGCCTACCCCTGTTCTAGTATGTAAAAGTAAAAAATTGAAGCTGCAGGTTATTGCCTTATTCTATGGTGCCAAAAGGAGCCGGAGACCAATGCTCTACTTTTTCTTTTCCCCTTTACCATACACATTTTCCTCCCCTATTTTCCCATTATTCACATTTTTCTTTGTATTTCTGCATTTGATATTTTGATAAACTAATAAAAGGTGAGTATTGAGACAGGGTGACCGTCGAAAGCGCATCCCTAAGCTGCTCAAATTAACGGAAGTAGGGGCTCAGTATGCCTTCACAGGCCATTGGCCTGTCTGGAGCCACCAGCCTCAGGGGTTCAGGGAGACTGACCGGCTCTCTCAGGCCGTCCTGATCGCCCTCCTCTCCCTGCAGGCCAAGCTTCTGTTCTGCGATGGGAAGAGGCCGATAGCCAGAGTTCCCCACGAACTGTCGGCCATCAAGGTAAAGGCCAAAAGCCAGGCTGGTGGGGGGGGGGGTCTGGCTAAGGCGCTGAGGGTCCCTTCGCCTCCCTGCTGGGAGAAGCCCCTGGCCATCTCTGCAGGGAGCACACCCACCTGGGGCAGGGAGCAGGTCTCGCTCTGCAGGCACCACTTTCTGTCTCTCTGTGCAGCGGGCGAAGCCCCTGGAAGACGAGATGAGCCAACAGGGGAGCCCCATCCCGAAAAAGGTAGGCCATTGGGGGAGCCCCTGGCAGAAGGCGGTTGGCGCTGCCCTTGGGCGGTCAGGAAACATTGATGAGGGGGGGTCTTCTCCTTGGCAGAGAAAGGGGAGACCGCCAGGACAGAGCCAGCCCAGTGACCGAGGTGCCTCAGGTGTCAGTGTGTGAGTAGAGTTTCCAGTCAGGGCTTTTTGGGGGGGGGGGCAATCTGTACTGGCCTGCGTTTGCCCTCTTCTCCCAGTGAAGCCTTGGGACCCCCCCCTCTGGCCAAAACCTCCCATTATAAGAGAAGGAGTAAACCAGGAAATGGGAGGGGGGGGTGTTCTTTTATAAGGAGGGTGGGAAGGCGCACCCAAGATTCGAACCTGGCACACAACTGGTTATGGCATGGAGGAGGGGGGGAGCAAGAAAGGTTCTTCCCCCAGAAGGACAAAGGCACGACGTTTGGCCGTCACAGCTTTGGCAGCCTCCCAAGACCCCCCCCTCTCTGTTTTTCAGGGGGAAGAGCAAGTCTTCTGAACCAGTTCAGAGGGACGGTCCGAAGGTACGCCGGGCATACGGAGCCCCCCTTGAGTTTGCAAAGCCATCCCAGGGGGAGGGAGCAGTTGGGGGGGCAGCCTCTCAGGCAGAGGCGAGGGGCTGGGGCTGGGGCTGGGGCTGGGCCCCACCCATCTGCAGGGCCTCTGGTCAGTTCCTGCTATGGACTGATGTCCACTCGCTTCTGGCCTTGCAGTGGGACCCCCTGCGCCTCACGGAGAGCACGAGCTTCGTCCTTGGGTCAAGAGCGAACAAGTAAGGGGGAGCCGGCGACACAGTCGTCCTTCTTCAAAGGGGGTGGGTGGGGGTCGCCCCTTGACCGTTGCAGACTGTAACCATTCCCGATCTGGATTCAGGGCCCTCGGGATGGGGGGCACCAGAGGCAGACTCTACATCAAGCACCCCCACTTGTTTAAGGTCAGTACGGTTTCTCTCCTGGGGAGTGGGGGGGGATCTTCCCCACCTGGCCACTGGGAATCTGAGTGGGTGGGGCATTTCTTAATTAGCCCACACGCCCCAGGGAGGACCCTGCCACGTGCTTTCGGCAAGAATGCCCCGGTTCCTCGGCCGTCAGGCCCAGAGGAGAGAAGCTGGCATCTGATCACAGATAGTCTTGACTTACGACCGATGGACACGGTTTGGAAGCTCTGAGGACCCCCACCCACACCCACCCACCCATTATGGTAGCCTTTGGGGCACTTGGCAGGCAGCCAGCATTTAAGGTGGTTGCAGTATTCCCATGCCCACACGACTGCCATTTTTGGTGGGCTTTTGCCAGAAATCAGCGTTTTACTTCCAGTTTCCAGCAAAAAAATGCTCATTGAGTACAGATGATCCTCAACTTACAACCACAATTGAGCCCAAAATTTCTGACGCTAAGCGAGACACTAGTTAAGTGAGTTTTGCCCCGTTTTAAAACCTTTCCTGACACTATTAAGGGAACCACTGCAGTTGTTAAGTTAGAAACACGATTGTTATGTGAATCTGGCTTCTCCATTGACGGGGAAGGTCGCAAAAGGGGATTGCGTGACCCCAGCAGACTGCGGCCGTTGTAAATGCGAACCAGTTGCCAAGCTTGGGAATTTTGATCAGGGGTGCTGCAACTGTCACGAGTGTGAAAACCGGTCCTAAGTCCCCTTTTTTTCAGTGCTGCTGTAACTTTGACTGGTCACTATATGAACTGTTGTAAATAGAGGACTGCCTGTAATGATTCACTTAAGAACAGCTGTGTTCGCTTAACTGCCGCAAAAGTTGTAAAATCAGGTGGGGTCCCGTGGCAACCTACTTAATGACCATCACCGCTTAGGACAGGCGTAGGCAACCTTGGCTCTTTTATGACTCGTGGACTTCAACTCCCAGAATTCCTGAGCCAGCCATGCTGAGAAAGGGAGAGTTTCCAAGCTGAGCCATGCTGGCTCAGGAATTCTGGGAGTTGAAGTCCATGAGTCATGAGGGGACTGTAGTTCCCTCATGCTGGCTCAGGAATTCTGGGAGTTGAAGTCTACGAGTCATGAGGGGGCCGTAGTTCCCCCATGCTGGCTCAGGAATTCTGGGAGTTGAAGTCCACGAGCCATAAAAGAGCCAAGGTTGCCTACCCCTGACTTAGGACCATAATTCCGGGCTCCTTTGTGGATGTAAGTTGAGGGTCGTGTACACTCTCACAGAGGCGGGATGACGTTTGGCTTGATCCTGTTTTCGGTTTGGCACCATGGGCTCCTGCGCGGCCCCCCGCCCTGGCTTGCAGGCAGCCACTTGCTTGACTCAACCAGGCCAAGGGCCGCGCTTCCACTGGGGGAGGCCCCTCTCGTTCCTGGGGTCTCCGTCCTTGGCCACTTTAAGACTTGTGGACTTCAACTCCCAGAATTCCCTGGGCAGCCATAAAGTCCACAGGTCTTAAGAGTTTGCTGTATAGCCCCTGGCATTGTCTCTGAGTCCCCCCTCCCCCGCCCCCCAAATCCTGAAGGACACCAAAGCTCAGGGCAGGGGATGCTTCCTCACTTCTGCCTCCCCCCCCCTCTTTCTCTTTCTCCCCCCAGTACGCAGCAGACCCACAAGACAAGCACTGGCTGGCTCAGGAGCAGTACATGAGGGCCACCGGAGGGAAAATGGTCAGTGGGGGCAGGGGGGACAGGGGGAGAAGCAGCAGGCAGGGGGGGTAGCAAGTGGCTCCTTTTCCTGGTCTGGGGTGTCTGGTCAAAGGAGGGGCTTCTGTCCAGTGCTTCTCCTGCAGGCAGGAGGGGCTGGAAGGGGGGGCTGGCCTCCCCTGATGCCCTCGCGGTCTCTCCCTGCACAGGCCTACCTGCTGCTGGAGGAGGACATCCAGGACCTGGCTGCCAGCGACGAGTACAGGTGAGGCTCAGGGAGGCAGGTGAGGTGCGCCCATTCCCAGGAGGCCGGAGCAGGGCAAAGGGTGGTCCAGCACACACACACCCCGTCCCTTTGAAAAGCTGTTAGTCTTGACCACCACCTCCTCTCTTCCTCTCTCCTCCTCTTCCTCCCCCTCTTCTTTTTCTTTCCTCCCTCTTCCTCCTCCTCTTCTTCCCTCTCTCCTCTTCTTCCTCCTCTTCCTCTTCTTCCCACTCCTCCTCCTCTTCCTCCCCCCCAGGGCTTCTCAGGACCTGAAGCTGGACGAGCTGAAGCCCTTCACCATCCCTTCCTGGATGATTGTGAAGATGCAGAGATACATGAAGACCCTCCGCAGCGACGGGGAGCAGCAGTTGCCGCAGCAACAGCCCCTCTCCCTGCCAGAGGAAATGCGGGAGACTTAAGGCCAGGCCTGGGCCGGGGTCTCTTGCCCCTCGTCGGCCACCGGGGACAGGGCTGCAGGGATGCTCCCGGGAAGCCCAGGAATGGGGGGGGGCAGCCTCCCCTCAGCCCTTTCCCTGCACGGGATCCTTCCAGGCGCTTCCCTCCTTTCCCGATTTTGTATTTGGAATCTTGTATTTGCTCTGTTGGAGGATTCAGGACGAGTGAAAAAAAATAAAGGCTTCTGATTGAACCTTCCGTGGCTACTTGAAGGGTACTTGAGGAGCAGGCAGGGGGGGGGGGAAGGGCAAAGGGGCTCCCTGGCTGGCATGCAGAGGGGCACCGTGACCCCTCAGCCCCACCCAGAGGGCTTTGGTGGGAAAGCTCTCCACAAAATTCATTTAGTGCACGAGTGAAAAGGTTGCGTCCTAAACGTTGCACCCTTCTTCCTTACCAGCAAAAGGCCTGGCAATAGCCAGGTTCATTTCACCGAGCTTTCACGTGGGTTGTTTTTGCTTAGCTTTTTGCACGGATCCTGCCATTGTGGCTTTTGCAGGGGGTGAAAAAGTCGAGAATGACCTGGACTGGGGCCCACTTCCCTGTGCACCGTTAAAATCAAGAGATGGTGGCGGGACATAAACATGGGGGGAAAATATTTGGGGTGAAAAGCCAAGGATCGAATGGGAAACCAGCTCTCGTGACCGCCTATCCGTCCCGAGAGCCGCATTCAATGCCCTAAAAGACGATCTACTGGAGGGGGAGGGGGAACAACCCCAGCCCCCCCCC